CGGGGTTTCACCATGTTGACCAGGATGGTCTCGATCTCTTAACCTCGTGATCCACCCGCCTCGGCCTCCCAAAGTGCTGGGATTACAGGCTTGAGCCACCGCGCCCGGCCTATTCTTTTCTTTAATGTACTAGTTACTTCCTCAACCCAGTGTTAATGGTAACAGTGACAGAAAGTATTCTTGTCCAACTGTAATGTAAACATTTTTTTAAAAGACATAGTCTTGCTCTTTCTCCCAGGCTGGAGTGCAGTGGCATGATCTCAGCCCACTGCAATCTCCACTTCCCAGTTCAAGTAGTTCTCCTGCCTCAGCCTCCCGAGTAGCTGGGATTACAAGTGTGCCACCACACCTGGCTAATTTTATTTTTAGTAGAGATGAGGTTTCACCATGTTGGCCAGGCTGGTCTAGAACTCCTGGCCTCAAATGATTCACCTGCTTCAGCCTCCCAAAATGCTGGGACTATAGGCATGAACTACCACACCCAGCCAAATGTAAACACTTTTAATTCTCATCACAGAGCATATCATTTGTTATTTGCTTATTTATATGTATCATTTATATTTAAATGACTGAGACATAAAAATTTCTAAAAGAAAACAAATTGTTTGTGGATCAGCTGTGTGGTGGCCAGTGAGGGATTGGAATGAGATAGCAGAGTTGGGAAGGAATCAGAGCTAAGGCTGGGAGTGGAAGAGGCTAAGGAGAACAGTAGCTACCCTGGAACAAGAGTTAGCCATAGTGCCCCTCCTGCCTTCCAACGGAGACAAGAGTCTCCTTACTAGAGGTAGCAGACCTGGATGTTCACGATGACTTCATTGGCTTGGAAGTGTGAGTTATGCTTTATCAGAGGAATCCTGCAATGCATAAACACACCATTGGTGGTGCCCTGCATTTGGAAGGGAAGGCAAATGCTTCTGCTTACCCAAGATACAGATTAGAGATATATTAAAGGTGAACCAAAGATGAAAATGTCACAATCCTCTAAGAAAGGTCTTAGAGAAAGCTGATGGTCAGAATAAGAGATAAAACTACATTTCAAGGAATAATTTAGTACATACTTATAAATTTGAGGCAATAATCCCAAATCACCAAGTAAAAGTTAAATGATGTCTAAAATACCCTGTTAAAATCAGGCAGGGAAATTCATAGAGTACACCTCAGAGAACAATTTAAAAATATTCAGAGTCTAAGGGCTAAAATCTCAAGCAAAATCTAGTCAAGAGCTGGGTGCGGTGACTCATGCTTGTAATCCCAGCACTTTGGGAGGTTGAGGTGTGTAGATTGCTTGAGTTCAGGAGTTCAAGACCAGCCTAAGCAACATGGTGAAACCCCATCTCTACAAAAAATATTAAAAAAATTAGCTGGGTGTGGTGGCATGTCCCTGTAGTCTCAGCTACTTGGGAGGCTGAGGGGGGAGGATGGCTTGAGCCTGGGAGGCGGAGGTTGCAGTTAGTCAAGATCATGCCACTGCACCCCAGCCTGTGGATTAGAGTGAGACTCTGTCTCAAAAAAGAAAAAAAGAAAATCTTATCAAGACTTCTAAAACCTATATGATTCCAGATAAAATAAATTTAACTATAATGCCTATAGAACAACAGGGGTGAAGAAAAGTCCTTGGAAATGGGTAAAGTAACAAAATAATCTCTAGAAAAGTGCTTTTGCCATCATTTTTGAAACCAGACTTTAAAATAGATAAAATAATTTTCCCTTCAAGAGAATTACGGCAAAAATAAAAAAGATTTCAGTATTACTGTCCTATTTGTATACATGCTGCAGGATTATGGAACCCACAGCAACAGAGAATATATTTAACTTGCTACCTGAGGATTTCTTTAGTTTCACTTTCATAAAATGGTTTATTGCTAAGTGCTTTTTTTTTTTTTTTTTCCTGACCTTAGTCTTTCCTTTGGGTACATAATAAATTCCAGAAGCCCGTAAAAGAAAATAGCGCCTTTTCCAGGATTTCTTTCCATCTTCTTTCAAATAAAGAGCTCCTTCCAGTTCTGGTACAATGACAGATGTTCCACAGAAACTTTCCTGAAATTGAGATTCCAACGACATAAGATACACACGAAAGATAAAGCATACATTTTTATTCACATTTAAACAAGCTTGCGAATTAGCTTTTAAACTAAAAGTCAATTTTGTGTACAACTCTGATTGAATGCATATTTTTATATTATATGATACTTACCAGAAGACAGGGAGAATAACATATCTATCAAGAATCCTGGCTCCTGAGTTAGACTTCAAGTCCGCCTCACCACTTAGCTCAGCAACCATGGGCCATTAAACCTCAGTCCACTTACTTGTCAAAACTGAATAACAATAGCCCACTTCATAAGGTAGGTTGTGAGCACAGTCCTGGGATATCGTAAAAGTCAGCATTTAATAAAAGTGATTCATGTTATTATAAAATGGAAGATAGAAAAAGTATTACTTTCCTGATAATTAAAAAAGCTACTGTTTCATTGCTGGTAAATGGAACAATTATTATACATAATTCTACACACAAAATCAGGGAGGACAGTTAATGGGTACAAATAAATAGAAGGAATGAATAAGCCCTACTATTTGAAAGCACAGCAGGGTGGCTATCGTCAATAACTTAATTGGGCATTTAAAAATAACTAAAAGAGTGTAGTTGGATTGTTTGTAACACTAAGGGTAAATGCTTGAGGAGATGAATAGCCCATTCTCCATGATGTGTTTATGTCACATTGTATGCCTGTATCAAAATATATCATGTACCCCATAAATATATATGCTACTATGTACCCAGAAAAATTAAAAATAAAAATAATCAAATAAATAAGTTAATATTTTATTCTTGGAATAGTTTTCTTTTCAAAGAAGGAAGAAGGCAGTTATTAATATATCAGTATCAGAAAAGAATAACAAAGCACATCTTCTAGATGTAGATTTTTAAATCTCAAAAGTTGCATAGAATTATATAATTATTAATAAATTTTGTTTTTAAAAGCAATAGAATACAATTATATATTATTCTATTTTACAACTCAAATATTCAAACTTTTTTTTGCTTTCTTTTTATAACTCTCAATATCCTCTCATTTAGTTCAATAAATGCAAAATTACTGAATTTTGCATCCTCCAAATACATTTTAGGTAGTAGAGCTGGAAAACATTATTGTTCACACTCCCCAATTTCTCTCCAAAATTGGCTAGTATTAGTCGTCCTGTTAATAATCTCTTAAATTCAGAATTTTGACCCCAGTTAGACAGCAGGATATTGCTGATTTTTCATAGCATAGCATGCTTTGTATTTTCTTTTTTTTTTTTTTTTTTTTTTTTTTTTTTT